GGGCCCCACTTTCACGAGGTGGGGCCGACAAGGGGGGGTGGCGAGCTTGGCACGGGAGCGAACGCCTTCGCGGACAGCAGAAGGACAGTAGCAAGCGTGGAAGTTCCCCTTCCCGGGTCGGTGGCACCCGCTGTGTTTCACGGTGAGAGCACGAGTTGCGAACCTGTAATTTCCCATACTGTTAACTGTTCGGATTCGTTTTCGCCTTGCATAGTGGCGGACACCACTCACGCCGAAACGTCACAAACAGTAGCTACGGGGGCGGGCACCCTCGGCGCTAAGTACGGGTCAAATAACACACAAGCGGAGGACACCGCACGGGTGATAGATGAGTCAAAACTATTGGCGGACACCAATTGTGCGAATAGTGACACACACCGGGCGGACACCCGATGTGAACATGCATTACCCTCACTCTCGCAAACGGTGGACGCCGTTCCCACGAAAAACTCAGTAACGGAATACCTATTGGCGGACACCAATAGCGGGATCAATTACTTCTCTGCCTTGTACACCACGAAGACTGTGACGGACACCACACGTGCTGAACATTGCAATGCAGTCGCCTCGGGGGCGGACACCCCGGGCGGATGTAATTGGCCCCGTGGCACGCAAGCGGTGGACGCCGCGAGCGTTGTCGGTAAACAAAAAATACTGGCGGACACCAGTAGTGTGCAGAAGGACATACACAGGGCGGACACCCTGCGTAAGAATTTGTCAGTCACACAGCCCCGATTGGCGGACACCATTCGCGGGTACGATACGGAATTAGCGGACACCATGACCGTGTCAAAAGCTTTCCCGGGGGCGGACACCCCAGGGGGAGCACTGTTGGCACGTAGGGCACTAGCGGCGGACACTGCTAGGGCCGCTGACATCACAGAAGTAATGCGACATGATTGCGGGTCGAATTCAACGACTCACTTTGGGGCGGGGAAAGACCCTTCGGCCCTAGAGAGTCCAAAAAATTCAACCTTGTCGGAAAACTAAAAAACTCTGTTCGATAGACTCGAGGTACAGAGAAGCAGACTCGCGTCAAGCACACACTAACAAGACGAGAAGCAATGCATCATTCGGAAGATGGCGGACATTGGTAGTGATTTGGTAAAGCTCCACGATGGAAGGCTGGGAGACGTCGCGAGGGGAATCGGCGGCACTTTGGTGTCACCGCCGTTGGACGTGAGCGACGTCAANCTCCACGATGGAAGGCTGGGAGACGTCGCGAGGGGAATCGGCGGCACTTTGGTGTCACCGCCGTTCGACGTGAGCGACGTCAAACAGTATTTCGGAGAGGAGAAGGGCTTTCCGGGTATCGAATACCTCATTGAGATAGTCGGCGAAGGAGCCCCGGCCCCCACTCTAGACTCGCAGCAAAACCTTAAGGATGCCTTGGCATACGGCAACCACCGTAGCGTAGACGACCACCAAACGCAAGTGTGGGAAAAACTATGCGACGATGTCAAGCGATACAGGTGTATCGTCCTGAGGAAGGCGAACGCGTCGGACGTACGTGGGATCAGAGGAGCCCCGTTGGGAGCGTTCCCAGGGAAAAAGTTAGGATCATCAACGACTTCTCTTTTGACCCAAGCACTAGCAAGGGGTCAAAAGGTGGGCTCAACAAAGATACCATTATGTCTGGAGTTCCACGTTGGCTGTGCGGCGAAGCCCTACCAGCTTTCCTCGAGGAGCTCACTAGCCTACGAGTAAGATGGCCCGACAAGAGAATCCTCGCAGCCAAGGCTGATGTTACCTCTGCGTTCAGAAATGTGAGGATATCACCAGATCATGCACACAACTTTTGCTACGTGATAGGAGACGTGCTAGTAGCGGACCTACGGCAACCTTTGGCTGGGCAGCGTCACCAGGATTTTGGGGTGTGTTAACCTCCGCTGCAGAGCACTCGCACCGCAACACGTCCCTCCGAACGCTCGACTACTACCAGAAGGAATCGCAATGATGTCCCACGTGAAAATAAAACCTCCTTGGGAAAAAGGCACCCCAACCCCAATACCATCGTCGGCAGGCGGAAGACCGCATAAAGGCAGGGGACCCGCGGACGATTTCTTGGCCAGGGTCTACGTTGACGATTTCTTGCTCACGAAGGTCCAGCATGACCCCAATGACCAATCGGCACTCATTTCGTCCGCCTCACTAGCGTCAGACCATGTCAGACTGTTTGGCAAGGGAGAACTCGGAGAAACCGCCATTCTCGCCCCGAAAAGAGCACTGACTGGGACACGGTCATAGAGGCCCTGGGGTACATCATAGACACGCATGATGGCAGAATTGCAACTACACCGGAAAGGGTAAGCGCGATTCGGAACATACTAGAGACAGATTGGCCCCACGATAGGAAGAAGGCCAGTGTTCAAGAAGTCCTCAGCATTGCAGGAAAACTGTGGAACCTCACTTATGTTATCAGGGCCGGTAGGTACTTCGTGTGGCAACTGCTCCGCCTATCGGGTCTGCATACGCAGGCCAGTCGACACACACTCTCACGACGACTAGTGGACTTGGGTAGAGAGTTCCACGGCGATATCGCCTTCTGGAAGTGGGCCCTCAATCAGCCACTGGCACTTCGAGGGGAGTCCCTCAGCGCATCGTTCCTACTACACGTAAAACGAGCACCATCACGCCTTTACCTCTCAGACGCTAGCTTCACAGCGATTGGCGGCTACTGTCCCGAGCTAAAGACTTTCTAGAGATACACGATTGAATCATCGTTGCCTGCGGAGCTCAAGCGCAAGGCGCAAGAGAAGGAGACGGCAGACTTACGATCAATCTGTTAGAACTCGCGGGCATGTTCATGACGGCGTGGGTAGTCCAAATGATCTTGAAAGACAGACCTGTAGAAGAAGGGCAGTCGGTGTTGATGCGTGGAGACAACGTGTCGGCCGTCAGTTGGACTAACAGGTGTGGGGGATCGCGTGACAGGCGCGCTAGCCTCATAATGAGACTCATGGGTAGGATGGAAATTTCTTGCGGCTGGTGCCACGTGGCCAAGCACATCCCTGGTCGAAAGAACACACTTGCGGACGGGATCTCACGCTGGGAAGAAAACGAGATCGCCGCCAACGTGAAAATGCTCACAAAAGACTCAGGGTGGACACAGCAGGACATTGGAGAAGGGGGACGAGCGTTGCTCAGCCTTATCCTTCAAAAGAAATTGCCGAAAGAAAGTCTGGACGACTCGGTATGGGACATTATGGTCCATGGAACAGAAAATATCTGACACGGCGGAAGGGGCGGATGGACACCGCTCCGTGTTTAGCCGGACGATCAACGAATCATCAACCGAAATGAGATGGCGAGAAGCTGGAGCGGTGGACACGCCTCACATTCACTGTTTCATGACGCCTTGATGGAATGGATAGCCAGGGGAGGCAGAGTTGGTTTGGACGACCAAGTTTTTCTGTTCTCCCTTCAAGCCAAGTCGGGGCTATCCACGGTTTTGGCATGAACTTGTCGTACCTTGGAAAGGAACCTCAGTCCCCACGCTGTGCATACCCGATGATTGAATATCAGGAACACAGGGAAAGGATGGCCGGGGAGGCACGAGCGTCGAGGGAGAGCGGTTGGTCAACGCACTCACCTTCGGGTCTTTGGGAAGTGGTACCAACAAGGTGTATCAAAGGATGTGGAACACGTGGAAGGAGGCTCGAGCAGGGGCGGGTTCGGGCCCGTGGCTCCGCGAGAGCGATGGGGTGGAAAGTGCGGTGAGTGAGCTGTCTGTGTTCATGGCTTGATGGTGTTTCGGCCACAAGAACCAGAATCAGACTATCCGCGGGTATCTCTCAGCCGTCGAGTACTTCCATAAGATGCATGCAGGATGGGAGTTGCCCACTTCGTATTTCCAGATCCTTGCCATGTTGAAGACCATTGATAGGGTCTACGCCAATACGCAGACGAAGCCTAAGGTTAGAAATCCACTTTCTTGGGACATGCTAGAGGCTGGAAAGTGCGTGGTCGAAATTTCGGGAGAATCAGGGAAGTTGTTCTGGTGTGGACTTGCCCTCTCGTACTTGCTGATGTGCCGAGCCTCAGAAATCTGGGCGGACGACTCGGGGCTCGTGCACTCGGATTTTTGTCTGACAAGAGGAGACCTGGGTTTCTTTTGCGGTCCGGTAAGGGTTGCATGGGCAGACCGGAGGCAGGCCAGCCGAGTGGACGTCACGTTCAGAGCGTCAAAAACAGATCAAAAACGTTTGGGAGCAACCGTCACTAGATCGGGAGAAGCTTGAAGGTGTTACTCGATCTGTTAGATCTGCACCCCGAGCTCGGGAGTCATGCGCCGTTGATGCAATCGTGGGCACAAGACAGGTGAAGGTGATTTCGAGGGCAGAGGCATCGAGACACCGCAGGTTACTCGTGCGTGCGGCGGGTAGAGACCCACAGAAGTATGAGTTGCATTCAGGAAGGATCGGGGGGGCCACGCATCTAGCAAGTATGGGGGCGTCGGTGATCCAGATCCAGAGAGCCGGGAGGTGGAAATCATCGGCTTTTATGGTGTATGTTAGGGCGGGGGGTGAAGGAGCAAAGTTTGTGTCTCAGGCCCTTACGGAACCCGAGGAGTGACCAGGGAGCGGTTCGGAGGAGTAGGTCATCGGACATGCTCAATGGAGTAAGATGTGTTTAGGCCAGAGGCCGAAACAATAGTAATGATAGTAGGGCAATCTTGGGAAGTTTGCAACGGGTTAGTCCGATAAGATAACGTTGGGAGCAAGACGGCATTTTACCTGCGCTCTCAATTTGTTTCATGTGTCTTGGGTTTTTCTTTGGTTGCCTGCAGAAAAATAATCCAGAATTCTTGAGCAAACATAGAAAAATAGATACATAGAAATATAGATGATTCCGAAGAAATTTCACGGAACGATTGCGTATTGCGGTACTGCTGTACTACGGTCCTGCCATGTAGTACGCAATCGTTCCGTGAAATTTCCTCGGAATAATATTTCTTGTGGATCCAGATGCATCTTTATCTCAACACAAGGACATAGACTACTCCATGGACTGGCGTACATGGAGAACGACAAGTTGCTGCAGACAGACGGGTGTCTACAGACGTGATCTGCTCTAGGTCAATCTTCTCGCGAAAACCTATGCATGCATACTGCTGTGCACGTATACTTCCCGTATGCAGCGCAAGGCTATGATACACCGTAGCGGTTGAGGAAGGACAAACACCTACGGGACGCCTTCCAAAACAGGCCTCCAGCCGCCCTCCGCCCACGGCGCTCAGGCGGCCAACGGGAGAGACCGCCGCCGAGCTGACGGCTACGGTGATGTCGGCCGCTGCTGAGACCGCGCCGCTGGCGAGGTGAGCACGAGGGCAGAGAGGCTAGTACACGAGCGAAGCGCAGCACGAGATCTCCGAAGCGTCGAAGGAGATTAAGGCGGCCCAGCAGCAACTGCGTGGGGCCTCACAGAACAGCGCCTGCGAGGCGACCCTGAAGGCGATGCTCAAGGCGG